TTATTTATTTTTGGGACAGAGAGAGACAGAGCATGAACGGGGGAGGGGCAGAGAGAGAGGGAGACACAGAATCAGAAACAGGCTCCAGGCTCTGAGCCATCAGCCCAGAGCCGGACGCGGGGCTCGAACTCACGGACCGCGAGATCGTGACCTGGCTGAAGTCGGACGCTCAACCGACTGCGCCACCCAGGCGCCCCATATTTTATAGCCTTTTCAAGAGATTGTGGATATTCTTTTATATGACATGAAAACTGGACAAATGGTAGTTTCTTAAAGTTTAGTTGTATGTAGAGACTGAAACCATCGTCAGTGTACTTTGTACTCTTGCATTAAAATTCATCGGTAACATCTTGCATTTAACTGGATCTTTTACCCATGCGTGATTTTGTGACATCATGCATTGGTCATTTGAAAGATATTAACTCAATGAGTTATGTAGATCTTCCCAATGCTGACAAATTTCATTCTGTGTAACATTTAAAAATCATGTTTGTTAATGTCATCAATCTCATTAGAAAGATCTTTCAGTGTTGGGAAGCTGTCAAGTTCATAGTGGCAGATACAAATTTTCCAAAATTCCCATTTCTGCTTGAAAACTCAAATGTTATAATTGACAACAATTACTGTCACTTGTTTTCCTGAAGTAACAACCTCACTTTGTTTTCAAGAAAATGTCTGCCAAATAGTCAAGTCTGAATAACCATCACATATTAAGTTTTTATTTTTTTCAAATAAAAATGCTATTCCATAAAAAAGTAGCATCTCAAAAATCACACAAATGTTTTCTCTCAGGGCATCCACCATACTTCAGTATGCAGCAGAAGTACTTCATGCATATTTCTAATGTAATCAGACAAATAAAAAGGACATGTACTCAAGATTCAAAAATTAATAAAGTTAACCATTTTTACTGCTTTTTAAAGGACATTCTTAAATGAAACTGGCTATTTTAAAAAGCCATGGTAAAGAACACAGTGACTGTGAGTGAAGTTTGATGCCACTGCCTTGAGTTATCCTAAGGCCCCAGTAGTGTTTCCTTTTGTACCATGAGTGAAACAGTGGAAAAGCTAAGTAATATTTTAATATTATTATGCAAATAATAAAAAAAAATACTTTTGATTTTGTGGACCCCTGTGTATGTGTCAGGGAACTTGAGGGATCCACACTGTGAGGACTGCTACATTTTGTTTTGGTATCTTTTAACTTGTTTCAAAATATTAAGTTACAATTTTCATTTGTGTTGTAGCTTTCTGGAGTGTTTTCATTCTTTAATGATGTTATTCTCTTTTTTCTTTTATTAACCTCATATAAAATTTGACTGTAATCTTTTTCTGTGGCTCTTTTAAGTGTAGTAAGTTTTCCTATACTTTTAGATAGTAAGGGTGGGCCAGAATAGCCTTTCCAGTTTCAGGGTTTTGGAGCTCCCTCTTCTGTTTTGTTCACACAGTACTAAAAAATGGAGATTTATGCTTCCTGTTATCTGCCATCTTTTCTTCTCTCCCAACTTGTATCTGGACCTTCTCTTTCCTTTGAACCTGTTGTCTCTGTCCCATTCAATGTGGATTCTACTCCCACTCTACTTCTCTTTCTCCCTGATGTGGGTCTTGTCTTGAAAGGGATCTACACTTTATTACTTTTCAGAGTTTATATGGTCCAGACTGTTCTAACACCTTAAAACCTTATTTCAGTGCAGTCCTCTGGCACCTATCTACAAATTGGATCTTGCAATACCTCCTTCCGGCTTTGATTGGTATTGTATTTGGCCCACCACACTTGCCAGTGAGTTCCTATTGACAGTTTTGAGATTCTCCTCTTTTCAGTGCTGTTAGAAGTCTAGTTGACTTTCTTCCATACATATAAATATATTATATAAATATATATGTATATACTTTAAAACAGTTACACACATACATTTCCCTCACTTAATGTCTTGGAGATCTTCCATATGATCATCTACAAATTGACCTCATTCTTTTTAATGACTGCATAACAATAATTAACACATATATAACAATGGTCATGTATCAGGTACTATTCTAAATTTTGTATATATATTTATTTAATTATTACTGTTCACACCTTATTAGTTAAGTACTGTTATTATCCCCATTTTGCAGATAAGGAAACTGAAGTACAGAGAGATGAAGTGACTTGTACAAGGCCACAGATCTAGTACTTTGTTCATTGTATCAGTGTACTGTTATTTAGGACATTAAGTTCTACGCTTTTTAAAAAAATTTTTAATGTTTATTTATTTTTGAGAGAGAGAGGGACAGAGCGCAAGCCGGGGAGAGGCAGAGAGAGGGAGACACAGAATCCAAAGCAGACTCCAGGCTCTGAGCTGTCAGCACAGAGCCAGACGTGGGGCTCGAACTCATGAGCTGTGAGATCATGACCTGAGCCAAAGTCAGACACTTAACTGACTGAGCCACCCAGGGGCCCCTAAGTTCTACTCTTCTGCTGATAAATCCTGTGATAGTTTCCTTTTTCTTCTTTCTTTCTTTTTTTAAAAACTATTCTAAAACCTCTCTGGAATTGATACCTATGTGTATAAATTATATATCCTAGTGAAAATTTTTGAGTATTATCTATAGGGCTAAATTCTAGCAGTAGGATTACTGAATTTCTTTTTAAATTTTGTTTTGAGAACTTTGGGAGACTTTTATTACATCCTTCAGGGTGAATAGAGAAACACAGGGGTTCTGTAAAACCAAGGTTTGATATCAATATATTAGGTGATAATGCTGTTTTTAAAAGGAAGATGATCTTCTTAGAAGCTTTGAATGCAGGGCCTTTTACAAATGGGATATGGGAGGAAGCAAGGCCTATTTTCACTGACTGCTGTTTATATAAGCAGAGATCATAATATATCTACTGATGATCTCTTTTCAGAACTGGTGGAGTCTCTTTCATTGCAGGGATCTTATGCTGGAAAAATTCATTCCATTGGTGATGCCTTCAGAAATTTTAAAAACCTCCGATCCTTAGATTTATCAAGAAATTTGATCACTAGCCTGAAGGTAAGTTCTATATTCTATGACTAGTCAGTTCAGCCCTATCTATCTATCTATCTATCTATCTATCTATCTATCTATCTATCTATCTATCTCTGTTTGTTTTGATGGGAAGAAATAAGAGATAGGTAATACCAGCCTGGGGAATATAGCATCTTCCTTTTAAAAGTTTCCAAACTAAATTTTATTATTTACTGTAAAATTCATTTGACTCTATTCTATATTTGAATTTTTTAGAATAAAATATTGGGGAAAATTTCTTTTGTACTTAGGGAAAATTATATTAAATGATCACAGCCTAAGGAAATAGTACAAATTTTTTATGTGTGTAAAAAAATTACAAGAAGAACTTGTGAAAATACAGATTCTTAGTTCTTACTCTGAGAGAGATTCTGAGTTAGTGGGTCTGGGGTGGGCTTAGGATATACCCGGGGATTCTGATGATGTTGGTACATGGAGTACACATGGAGAAACACTGGTCTGTATTGTTACTGGATTGTTACTGGTTGTTAGTAAATAATTTTTTCACAGAGGAAGAGGAAATGGTGGTATTGAAAACAAAGAAAAATGTCTGGATCAGGGGATGGTAGAAGAGAGAGCAGGACAGGAAAGTAGGGTGAGAGCAGGCTTGAGCAGAGTGTGTGAGGATTAGCAAATACACTAAGAGCTCTACAAACATCAGTGTGCACACACAGAAATGGAAGTTCTGTTTTCTTAGTGGTAGACCCCCAGATGGTGTTTCTTCCACATGTTCCCATTTTACCCAGTTTTGTGCTGGTCTTGATTAAGACCTTCTTTTCGAGACTCAAGGTGAAGGACTCAACGGTTGCTATTCAGGATTAGTTAATGATCTCCTGGATTATTCCACCCATTTTGTGCTTTTTAGGGGATACTTGTTCGACAATACAAGCCAGACCCAATCTCAAGGTCTAAATGAAGGGTCCTAAAAGATGAAGTCCAAGCAGACTTCCAACTAGGATTCTAAAAATAGAAACTGCAAGTTAAACTAGGTCTTTAGACTATTTGGTAGCAGCCATTTGTATTTGGCCCATCAGTTTCAGAAAACATTAATTCAGAGTTGTTTAAGTCTCCTCTTTTCACATGTATGTATGTTAATTTTCAAGCTAAAAAATTGAGTGAACATTGCCATTATTTGTTTTTATACTCACTTTCTTTCCGCTTCTGTAACTTGGACAAAAAGCTATTGCGAAGATTAATCAAATTAGCATGTGTACACTGCTTGGCATATAGGAAGCACTTGGTAAATGTTTTCTACATTCTTTTCATCTATGACTTATCTGCATATATTTATCTCTAGCAGTTCTGAATGGTTTTGCTTAATTTTCTCAGGGGGTAAATGTTTTGTGGTTATTTCTAGTGTAACTTTGGGGAATACATGAATTCATGCAAACAGGAAAAGTGAGAGGAGGATAGAAGACATTTCCTTGCCATTTACACATTTAAATAGAATCCTAATGGTGTATCGCCTGGAAAGTGTGGCCAAAGTCACTGACAACTATTCCTAACCAGTGACCCTTTCACAATGTAGAAGTTAGTGGAATTGAAAAAAGCCAGAAATAAATGCATCAAAGTATAAACAGTGTTTTATTCAGAAATGCTTTGAGTTTTCTAAGTTTTTTTGCAACAAAAAATGGTAATTTTAAATGAGAGGAGGATAAAAAACATATTTTATAAATACATGATGGAAAATAATTTTACCATTCTGAAATAGCTCTTAATGACAGAGTTCCTTCTATAGTAAACATTTTTACTACTAAAAGTATATGATTGTACATATATATATACATGTTTTGGATTACTGTCCTGAAATTTAGTGTTGGGCTAAAGCAGCTAACTAGCCAAATACATGAAAATTAAACAATTGTTTTCAATAGTAGATTTCAGCAAAGGAGGAAAATGTGACTTTTCTTCTCCAGTATCCCAGAGAAATGGAAGGGTAGGGTAATTCTGAAAGGAGAAACAAGGACAAGAAAGGTTCCAGACTGTTCCAGGAGGGAAGACTTAGAGATAGCATTGTTTTGTTTTCCATATAATCCATTGACCCTAAACATGAGGCATTGAGATATAAGAACACAACAACACACACATACATTTAAATTTTTTTATTATGCCCTTCTCCTCCGGTGCTGTCTCTTTTGCCTATTTCCTTTCCTCCTGAAAATTGAGGTGCTTCTGGGGTCAGGTGAATGGACGTGACAAAGGTGAGAGAAGGGCAAAAGTGACTCAGCCTAACTACCACTGGAAGGGAGAATTATCAGGGAGCAACAGAAGTAGAGAATTGACTGCAGATATTTCTATGTCAGACTTTGTAAGGAGGAAATGTATGATATCTATGAATTATTTAATATAGAGAACATCTAGTGCCCATGGGATACTTTGTTCTTATTCTCAGACATCTTACTTTTTTTCATAATGTTTATTTATTTTTGAAAGAGAGACAGAGCATGAGCAGGGGAGGGGCAGAGAGAGAGGGAGACACAGAACAGGCTCCAGGCTCTGAGCTGTGACCACAGAGCCTGACGTGGGGCTCAAACTCAACGAGCTGTGAGATCACAACCTCAGATGCTTAACTAACTGAGCCACCCAGGGACTCCTCGGGCATCTTAAATGGGAGTTTCAACCCTGCCTTTCTCATGGGTGACCTAGGTAACATGTTTAAGGATCGAAGTAATAGATATATTTCCATCTGTATCTATGAGATTCCTAGTCCTTACCAATGTGCAGTTTCATAATGTGGTCTTTTCCTTGCAGGGCATCCAGTATTTATGTTCACTCCAAGACCTGAATTTATATTATAACAACATTCCTTCATTAGTGGAGGTGTCCCGCCTACAGTCTTTACCCTTCCTCAAAGAACTAGATTTGAGACTCAATCCTGTTGTCAGGAAAGATACAGATTATAGGCTCTTTGCTGTGTACACGCTACAAACTCTGGAGAAACTGGGTGAGACCCTCCTCCCCTGTTCCTTGTCCCTGAATTTACATTAAACCAGCTGCCTCCTAACTTTCTGGGTGTTGGCCCAGAGTGTGCACTGGCAGGATATATTTGTTTATTAGTCAATATTTATGTAACTCTTTTGTGTTGGCAGGATGTATGGCAAGTCCTTTTTTTATTGAATGACAACCTATGATTTTTATCAGTTACTTCCAGCTTTAGTTTTCTTCAGTTGATGGTTTCACCACCACTTCCTCTCCAACAAAGAGTTTCCAGTTGAGATTTATTTTTCCAGGTGCCCCAAATTTGCAACTATATTAGCAATAGAAAATGAATACGACTCTCTGGGGCTTAGTTGGTAAGGAATAATAATTATTCTTTCAAATGAGGTAGTCCACATTTCTTTATAATTTTATTGTTGAAATTGAAATACACATTTCTTAATGATACAAACTTGGATTTCACATGCCCCTAGGAAAGTTATTATAGGGAAACTAAATAATGTCTGTCAGAAACAGTGTAACTTTTGACATTAATATTAGGTCTTTTGGATTGTTTGCTGCAGTAAACTACTCTCCTGCAGGGGTAATTACACCTATGTGGCAGTTGTTGCTATGGCATCCCTGTGGTCTCCCTGAGTTACTACTTGCTCCAGTGACAACATAATAGCAGTATTTTGTGACCTGTCTCTAACAAAAGAATATGAGACTGATCTTTAGTTTTTACTCTGTGAATATGTTTTTCTGACTTACTGCTGTTTACTCCAAAAAAGAAACATGCTCAGACCACGCTTTTTGCCTCCAGATGACCGAGCAGTGCGAGCAAGTGAGAGAAAAGCTGCCAAGCTGCATTTTAGTCAGTTGGGCAACAGTGAAAATTTTCTTTTAGAGGTGGAAAAAAGGTAAGACAATCCTTTACAAAAAAAGTTTTAGTTTGGTTCTGGACATAGCAGTGAATTACTGCTTAATATCTTCACTTTCCAGTAGAAATCTCCACAAGTTTTAAGAATCCTCAGATCAGGAATAAAAGTATCTATTCAATATATTGAGATTTATCTAGGACGAGAATCTGGCCCTCGGGGAGCATTTCTGCTTTGTTGAACCATTGTGTCTACTTTGGATATGATTGTTGAAAATTCTCTAGAGCTGCTGTTCAAAGCTTATAGATAGGGATACCATGAAATGATTTATAAATGCTTACCAAATCTTTCTTGGAGTTATAAATCAGTACATGGTCTTTTCCTATTAGAAGGTTTACATTACCACAGAGATAAATTTGTTAGAAGGTAAGGGAACCATTTTTCTATAAAACTTTTCTAAAAGTTTGTAAAAAACTGTTTCTACAAAAGTAAACAGACCTTGAAGCTCTACAGTATTGGAAAGGTAGGTTTTTCTACTTCTTGTTACTAAAATCTGAACAAAATAAGATACCATATCTTCTACAAAACCCATGCTCTTTATCTTAAAAAGGTAGCTTTATTTTTGAAAAACGGAAATCCATTACAATTTACATAATACAGAAAAATACAGTGAAAAAAGTAAAAGTCACCCCATAGTCTGCTACCAAGAGTTAACCTCTTGTAATGTTTGGTATACATCCTTATAGACATCTGTGTACCTACCTATAGACACATGTACATGTGTCTATTAGTATTGTTTTCTGATGATAAAAGTAGTGCATGCTTGTTATTGAGAACCTGGAAAGTATAGAAAAACCATAAGAGGGGTACCTGGGTGGCTCAGTTGGTTAAGTGTCCAACTTTGGCTCAGGTAATGATACCACAGTTTGTGGGTTTGAGCCCGACATTGGGCTCTGCATTGGTGGTGCGGAGCCTGCTTGGGATTTCTCTCTCTTCCTCTCTCTGCACCTCCTTTACTTGCGCTCACTCTCTCTCTCAAAATAAATAAATAAACATTTAAAAACCACAAGAAATAGACAAGCAACTCATAATTTCACTACCCAGAAATAAACACTAATTATATTATGGTAAATATCCTCTTAATCTTAGGTATGTGTATGTGTGTGTGTGTGCTTATCTCCAATGTTACATGTTATATAATGGATATCTAAATACGTATTAATAATAAAAATAATACATATATAATATTTATTTTATAGTAATTTGCTTCCTATATGTACCATTTTCAGTTTGTTAAGATATCATGAACACATCTCCACAGCATTAAATATTGTTCCCAAAATGAGTTTTTCTTTATTTGTTTATTACCTTTCCCCACCATGAGAACTAGGACTTGGCTTGTCTTATTTATTGCAGTATCCCTAGTGCTTAGAATAGCCTGGCACATACAAGGTATTAAGAAACAATTTGTTGAATAGTGAATGAATGAAGTCAGTGTCTGTTGGTCTTGGATCCTTCTCTTTGCCTATCTCTGCTCTTATCCCTTATAAGTTTTTTTTCTTTTCTCTTTTAAGTTTATTTATTTTGAGAGAGAGAGAGAGAGAGTGAGAGCACAAGTCGGGGAGGGGCAGAGAGAGAGGGAGAGAGAATCCCAAGCAGGCTCCATGCTGTCAGTGCAGAGCCCAATATGGGGCTCAAACTCAAGAACCATGAGATCATGACCTGAGCCAAAACCAAGAGTTGGACGCTTAAACACGATTGAGCCAGCCAGGCACCCCTAACCCCTTATATGTTTATAACATAGCCCTCAGAGGGCATTTTTAGTTCCCTATATATTTTTTTAGTTCTCTGTTTTTTTAAGTTAATTATTTTGAGATTTTTACATAGAGTAAAATTTATCCTGCTGTAGAAAGACATGGAATGTTTCTAAAAAGTTATTTGTATATATATATTGTGACCTAATTCTTATTTTAATTCATTGGGGGTACCCTGTTTACTGTAGAAATACAGAGATGAATTAATGTGTAACTGAATACATTTTCTAGTAAGGCAGATAGTTAGCACTATCATATTTCTGTTTAGTTATCACATAGTGATTGCAAAACCAGAGGTAAAATGGTACTCAAGTGCCCAGTCCTAACATTAATATCTTAGCTCTCCAACCTTGGGTAAATATTTTTTTTAAGTTTGTTTGTTTGTTTATTTATAACCAAGTTAGTTAACATGTAGAGTAATAATGATTTCAGGAATAGAGTTTAGTGATTCATCACTTACATACAACACCCAATGCTCATCCCAACAAGTGCTCTCCTTAATGCCCATTGTCCATTTAGCCCATCCCCTCACCCAACACCCTGCCAACAACCCTCAATTTGTTCTCTGTATTTAAGAGCTCTTATGGTTTGTCTCCCTCTCTGTTTTTATCTTATTTTTGCTTCCCTTCCCCTATGTTCATCTGTTTTGTTTGGGTAAAGATTTTTCTTTAAGTCTTTCTGAGTCCCAGTTCCTCCAACCTATAAAATGGAGATAATAGATAATAGGGGAGCTTTTATGATTAAATAAAATGGTGGGTGTAAAGTGCCTAGCTCATAGTCTAGGCTGTCTGTACTTCCCAATCTGTACTTACTGTAGTTATATTTTACTATACTACTTCAATCAAATGTGAAACTTGCCTTTCTTGTCTGTTTTTGTTTTTTTAAACTAATGGCTGTGGTTGTCCACACTGTAATTCTTGGCAGCAGAACCTTCCTTTCTGTGTCCTATGAGTTTTTTAATTCAAAAGAAAATATTCCCTTAATCATTCAGACCTAAGTTTGTGTCAAGAAAACGGTGTCTGAATGTTCTGGCTTTCATTCTTTAAAGGCTGAACTATAGTGTCCTCCTCTCTCACTATTTCCAGTAAAAATATTATGACCTTAAAAGTAGGGTTTAACTGGGGGTGCCTGGGTGGCTCAGTCAGTTAAGTGTCTGACTTTGGCTCAGGTCATGATCTCGCAGTTCATGAGTTCGAGCCCTGTGTCGGGCTCTGGGCTGACAGCTTAGAGCCTGGAGCCTGCTTCAGATTCTGTGTCTCCCTTTCCCTCTACCCCTTGCCCACTCATATTCTGTCTGTCTCTCTCTCAAAAATAAACACTAAAAAATTTTTTTAAAAATAGGTTTTAACTGAAACACTTTGTGAAATTAATATTTTCTAGATCATTTGGGGAAAAAATCTGATCACCATGAATTAATGTTTTATAAATAGCATTTAGTGGTGATCTCAGAAACCTTCTTTTGAGTTTTCTTTTCAATTGGGGTTTTAAATAAATTATTCTATGTGGCAGCTCTAGGGAGAAGGCAATGAAAAACTGCATGACAGATGAGAGTTCTGCATCAAAAGTCAATGCTGATATTGATAACAGAGTTGAAACAGGTAAGTTTTGTCTCTGATCACAAAATGCTTAAGACATAAGTTATTTCAGTTTTTATGGGCAGTCTTGGGTAGGATGAGGACAAAATAGTTGAGAAATAACAGATTTGCAGTAAGCACAAGATTCACTGACTGTGCTTTTCCTCCCTTCTCTCACTGCCAGAAGGAGCCCTATTTATTGAGCAGGCATAAACCAGAACCTATTAAGTACAAGCTATAGTCAGAATTCAATTTCATTTATATCAGTTTACATTCAGTACATTCTGAAAGTTGCATTGCCAGCCCCCATGACTCCTGAGCATTGCTTACGGTGATTGATTCATTAGCCAGAGACTGGTGACTCGTCTGCATCAATGTAGCTTAAAACCTGGACCTTCTGTGCTTCTCCACCTTGAACCTTTGCAACTGCAGAATCTCTTGTGTTTGTGTTATATTCCTGGTGAGTGTTGCCTGTAAGCACTATTGGTAGTGCAATATAATTTAAGTGGTTATACCACATTAATGGTTGTGGCACAGGCTAGGAGAAAGCTTTCCACAAGAGAATACATGCAGTGGACCTTTATGGATTAACCTAGCACTCATTAGATGACCTTTTACTTGAGAAAATTTTATTTTGTAGAGGCCTCTGTCCCCTTAAGGATATACCAAATTATTTACAACCTCTAAAAATTAATCCCTAAAATCCCAGCAATAACTGTAATAGATGGAGTATGTAGTTTAGACATTAAGAATTTCCAGTTTATAACATACTGTATTTTGTTTTCCTTACTGCTTATCTATCCTAGCTGACATTTATTGACAAGTAATTTTAACATAATTTCATGGTAAAATAAGCCATAGTGAAGTGTGATTTTTATTTTTCTTTCTCGGAAGCCTCAGTGCACACATGCCATGGAGCATGGATTGCTTTATTTCATTTTATTATTTAATTTTTTTAATGTTTTTTTATTTTTTGAGAGAAAGATGCAGTGCAAGTGGGGGAGGGGCAGAGAGCGAAGGAGACACAGAATTCAAAGCAGGCTCCAGGTTTTGAGCTGTCAGCATAGAGCTGGACGTGGGGCTCGAACTCATGAACTGTGAGATCATGACCTGAGCCGAAGTCGAATGTTTAACCTACTGAGGTACCCAGGCTCTCCCTTTATTTCATTTTAAATAGCATTTTTTTATATTTAAAGTTTGATGAAATTCTATTGTAATAATTGTGGAAAATACTGAAAAGCATGAAGAACAGCATTGTAATCATTTATTAGCCTGTCCTCTAGAGAGATTCCCAATGAATAATTTGGTATACAACCTTCCTGTCTTTTTTCTAGGTAAAAACATTTATATATCAATTTCCAGAATGACAAAGATACACTGAAGTATAATTTGACTGTCTCTTTGTATTAGCTGAATTAAACTTCATTTATGTTATATTACATCATTAGCACACATAAAAATTCACTCCATGAATTAAAATGTTTTAAAGTGCACAGTCTCCCCTGAGAAAAAACTGCTCTGCTAGACACAGGGCCCATTTCTAAAGGTTCTTGGAAGCTCCAGCTGTTGCCTGGATTTTTTTTTAATATAAAATTTATGTTGCTACTTTGAAACGTTAAACAGCTTTGCTTTCCACTGAAAATCATGTTTGTGCTAGACCCCTGGGGATTATTGCCTGTAAGCACTGTTGGTAATTCAATATGACTAAAGTGGTTATGCCATGCTAATCGTTGTGCCACAAGCTAGGAGAAAACTTTCTGGAGGACAGTTTCCACTAGCTCAGTTCCAAACAGTGCTTTCCCACCAATCATTTAGAATGGGCAGCAAAACTATTGTCTTAGATCTTCATCCTATTCTCCTAACCACATGATCTTTGACTCTTTCGAAGGTTCCTCTCTCTTTTCCCATAGCCCCAAAATAAACATACCTAGCCTATGTCTTTAGACCTCTTCTTTCTTTCTTTTTTACATTTATTTATTTTTGAGAGACAGAGCACAAGTGGGAGAAGGGCAGAGAGAGAATGAGACACAGAATCCAAAGCAGGCTCCGAGCTGTCAGCACAGAGCTCGATGCAGGGCTCCAACTCACCAACTGTGAGATCATGACCTGAGCCGAAGTCAGATGCTAAACCAGCTGAGCCACCCAGGTGCCCCTAGGCTCTCTTCTTTCTTTATTTGCCCTTATTGATCTATTTGTAAAACTTGCTTTATTCCCTCCCTCTAGATGACTCTTAAATATATTGATCTCAGGTCATCTGGCTGGCTCAGTCAGTAGAATGTATGGCTCTTGATCTTGGGGTTTTAAGTTTGGGCCTCATGTTGGGTGTAGAGATTACTTAAAAATAAAATCTTAATATAGATAGATAGATTGATCTAACTTTGTATATACTTAGAATCTCCACTAGAAAACTTTCCAGTCCTTCAACCAAACATGTTAAAAAAACAAATGAACCCCTTTCCTCCAGCCCTAAACAGTAGCTAGGGTTTCCTCAGTGTTACCACCACTTTCCTAGTACTCGGGCTTAGAACCATACTGAGATTTGATGCTGTTCCTTTCCTAAAGACCAGCTGAACATTTATACTCTATAGTATGATCCACAGTTGATGAGCCTTCCTTTTCCTTTCCTAATGGTCTCTTAATAGGCATGCGTAATAGCTATCATTTATTGAGTGTAAACTCTGGGCCAGGCTCTGTGCATTATCTCATGTAATCCTCACAACATCCTTGAAGGTGGTTATAATTATCCTTATTTTACAGTTGAGGAAACTGAGACCCAAAAAGGTAAAATAACTTGTTCTAGTCGTACAGCAAGTGGCAGAGCTGGAATGCAAACTCTGGTCCATCTGTCATCAAAGTCCTCTTAAGCATTACACCATGCTACCTCCTGGTCTCTTCCTTCAGTTCATTTTGTGCTTTCCTGTCAGGTTAATTTTCATAAAACTCAGCTGTGATAATGATACTTGCCTGCTCAAAAATTTACATGGCTCCTCTCACCTACTAAATTAAGACTCCTTAATTTGACATACAAGATTCCCTTAAACTATGACCACAGTTTATATCTTCAGCCTAACCTGAAACCTGTCTCCTGTTTCTGAACTACAGTTTCCAATTCTGCAATCACATCAAACCACTGTCTCCTCCTCGGATAGTTATTCTTTTCTCCCTCTTCTGCCCCTGAACTAATTCTGTCTTGGTATGCTTTAATCAAAATCCTACCCTTTTTTAAGTGACCCAACTCAAAGTCCATTGTCTTTAGTGAAGTGTTTTTGATTCTTCAACCAAAAAAATTTTCGTGTTTTTGTAAATCCACATAATGCATATATATATCCTGGTATATGTACTCTGGAAATAGAAAATGCAACCACTCCCGAATCACTTGCAACATCATTAGGAACATGAGACAAACACGAAAGACCTAAGTAACATAATCCCAGGTGATGCATATGAAAACATCAAGTGAATGGTAGAGATCAGTGTTCCTCAAACTCAGCGCTAAGGACTCAGTCCAGGGATACACTCAGAGGTCCACAGGCAGTGTGAGATCCCTTACTTTTGCGTTCTTGTTTGATGCAAAAAGCTGACTTTATTCACTGTGTATTCTCAGTGTATTCACTGTGTATTCACTGTGTATTCTCCCCTGCCTCCACACACACACAGCCTCCACCACTACCAACATCCTGAACCAGAGTGGTACTTTTGTTACAATTGCTGAGCCTATATTAACGTGTCATTATCACCCAAAGCCCATGGTTTACAATAGGGTTCATTCTTGGTGTTGTACATCTTACAGGTTTGACAAATATATAGTGATATGTAGCCACCATTTTAGTATCCTACAGCATAGTTTCACTGCCCTAATCTCTGCTTACCTAGGCATCTCTTCTTCCCCTCAAACCTCTGGCAACCATTGATCTTTTTACTATCTCCATAGTTTTGGGTTTTTTCCCAATTATTTTTATTGTGGCAAAATACATATAACATAAAATTTACCATCTTAACCATTTTTAAGTGTACAGTTCAGTGGTATTAAATACATTCGTAATGTTGTGCAACCATTACCACCATCATCTCCGGAACTCTTTTCATCTTGTAAAACTGAAACTGTATCTGTTAAATGGTAACTCTGTATTTCCCCCTCTCTGCAGTCCCTGGCAACCACCATTCTATTTTCTCTATGATTTTAACTGCTTTAAGTACCTCATATAAGTGGAATCATACAGTATTTGTCTTTTTGTGACTGGCTAATTTTGCTTAGCATAATGTCCTTAAGGCTCATCCATGTTATAGCATATGTCAGAATTTCCTTCCTTTTAAGAGTGAATAACATTCCACTGTTTGTATATATCACATTTTGCTTACCCATTCATCTGTTGATGGTCACTTGGATTGCTTCCATGTTTTAGCTATTGTGAATAATGCTGTTATGAACATGGGTACACAAATACCTCTTCAAGACCCTGCTTTCACTTCTTTGAGGATAGGCCCATAATTACTGCCTCATATGGTAATTTTATTTTATTTATTTATTTATTTATTTATTTATTTATTT